GAGTAGCTGGTGGGCCCCGTGATGAAGCCCCACTGTGCTGAGAGTCTAGCTCTGCCCCCGCTGATATATATTAGATGCATTTAATTTGAGTGACATTTTATCTCTTTGCTAGTTTGAAAAACACTATCCTTTTGTGGATTCCTTTTTTTAACTTTAGTATAAATCAGAAGTTAATTTGAAGGCTACGTATACTGTCCAGTAAATTATCTTTAAATGTATTGCATTTAGTCTTTGATCTTAGATCGAAGTTCTTGCTCTTGCTCTGTGTAACTTTTAGGGACACAGTTACAACTGATTTGTTTTCTCATATTTCTGCAACCACACCATTATAAACTATTAAATGGCATGCTTATTTTTGCTAAGCTTAAATGTGCTTGTCAGTTGTGTATGTGTTGTGTTACATGTACATCTCCCTACACCACTCTTCCAAAGTCTCCTGCTGACCTGGTTTTCTAGAAACATGTGGTGACTTCCTCACCAATTAAGATCACCACACTCTACTGCCTCTACTGGACACACAGAGGAAAACTGACCTTGATCTTATCTTCTGACTCTGGGCAAGAAGTCTAACTAGTGTGTTTTCCCAAATGTCAGAGCAGAGAACACATTTGCCTTATTATTCATTTCATATTTCCTTGTAATTATTTAGAAATGCCATTGTCATGATTGATGGAAGGAGATGTTAACCTCAGTGAGCTGATATATGTTACCAGTTTGCAGTACCATCAATCTTCATCAATATTACCATGATCAACACTTTAGTCCATGATATCTTAAAAAATATATTTCCATAATATAATATATCCATTTGCTGTGTAACCAATATCATCAGTATATTGTTCCTTTATTTGCATGAATTGGAAATTAATTGTGATTCCAGGTAATACCCAGGCCAGAAGGCTAGTTACGTCTAGCCAAGCACAGACACAGCAAATTAGGGTTTTGGACCCAGGTGCAGAACACCAGGCTGAGCAGGTTGTATTTCTCAGAGTTTATTAACTTTAAAATGAACAGCTTACATGATTTATCATTAAACCGGTAACCATTTCATCGCTATAACATAGATTATTTATGTAACTGACATACTTATTTTAAGCCAAACCAAGTTTTGATGCCTACACCTAACCAAGTAGCTTTGTTGCATAAACTTGTTGTTAACTTGACCGCAGAAATTACAAAATGGACGAAAAGGATGAAAAGGACGGTGACAAGTGATGCCAAGGGGTCTTGACTAAAAATCCAAATGTGACAATTTGGCAGTAAGAATGGGTTGGTCTCTGGAGATAACCCATTTCACATCAGTGGTCTTATCTGCACCAAATTCCCAAGCTTGAAATGAAGCTTTCAGCGCCACCAGAGCAACACGTCTTAGATGTGGCAGGGTGGTTTTACTTTCAAAGAATTAGTTATCTGTTGCATCAGTGTTGTTTTCTGAGCCTCCCACTGACTGCAGTGATCAATACTGGTTCTTGTTACCTATTAATGTGAAAAAAGCTTTGTTTATACTGTTGTGGAAATTAGTCAAATTTGCTTTTTTGGTCAATAATATTATCTGCCGGAGAAAAGTGACCTTTTGGAGTTTTAGTCTTACTCGAGTTATTTCTTTCACTTAGCAAGTAGCACAACTTCAGGGGAAAATTTGTTTCTGTACTTCCACTTTATTTTTTATCTCAATGAACAAAGGTTACAGTGGAAAACAAAGAAGCACATTTATTAATTTAATTTTGTTAGTGGAATTCTGTATGAGGTTTGAACCCACACTGTCACCAACAATTAAATGTTGCATTACTTAGTAATTCCTGGATAATGTTTTAGAATAATCAAACAGGAATGGCATTATATGTGTTAATTAACATTACATGTTATCAGGCAGCCATAACCAAGATATCCCGTTTGGGCTCTAGTTCTGCACACACGGACACAACTTTTAGCCTAACTTGGCCTATGTATCAATACAGTAATGTAAAGAGAAATAGGCCAATGTGGGACCTGAGGACAGTTGCTCGCCTTGGTCCCATTATCAGCACACAGTAACAGAGACAAGTTGGGCCTATTAGGATATGAGGCACTCCTGTATTTCCTCCACAAAGAAACAAAAAGAGTTTTAGAATGATTTGATGGACCAGAGGGTGTTTTAATTTAAAGGGCGCATGTGAGGGTTTTTTGGAAACACTCAGTGTTACTCAACAAAATGCATTGTGTGTATCACTGAGCTCCGACAAGCATGCTACATTAGCAGTATTGTTGAAATGCTATACTACCACAAAGAAACTCAAAACATCAACATGTAAAGACAAAAGTTTTGTGTCTTCAGTCTGGCTGTCTTGCTCCTATGTAAGAGGGGTGGGGGGTCTTTTACACTCGTCATGTGTTCCCTAGGGTCACATAGTGCACCCAGTTTGGTAGCACTTACACAAATATGCCATACAAAAGCAAAGTGCAGTAACTACGCAAACACTGAAACTGAGAACAATGCCTTTAAAGTTTTTACACTAGCCAGTCAAACATGTTGTGGTTAGATTAGTGGAAAAGAATTCATGTAATAATTTCTAAGGAAGACATTTTTATAGATAAAAACTCGGACCACTGATTTGACCTTTGACCCCCAAAAAGCAGATACTGCACTCTGCCTTTGAATGACCTTAACCAACTGAAACAGTATTGCAAAGGCAAAGTGCAGCATCTACAAACTAAATGTGTTAATCAAACTTTCTTGTTGTTTCTTACTACATGTTGATTGTTTTTAATAGCTTTAATAGCAGGGCTCGACAATAATGTTGGCCCTATGGCCCAGGGCAGTAAAAAGTAACGTCGGGACTGTTGAACTAGCAACTCAAAACATTAATATTAAAAAAACAAAAACAAAAAAATCACATTACAAACTCAACATCCTGCAGTTGTTTTGCAGCTTGACGCACCGATGTCCAATCCAGAGTTGTAGTTACGTGACGAGAGGTTGTCAAATGTTATTTCTCTAATCTCAATCATGCGGCGACCTCTGGGTCTGAAAGTGAAACAATGCAGATGGAACTTAAAGCTGCATTCTCTCTAATGGACAGTTCGCTGGCTCCAAAATGTAGTCCGGTTCCATTAGAAATAATTGTAAAATGACCCTATTTGTCATCTGAATTATTACAGCAGGAGAGACAGCATATCATGTTTGAGTCTGTTAGTATGTATTGTTTTGTTAACTTTTTTGTTTTTTTGTTTTTATCATTTTAACTGATTACATTTTAGTTTAGTTTTTTTTATATCCAGGATGTATTTAATAAACAATTAAACTTGTTTAATCGTTTTTCTGAAATGGGCCAAAATTAAAGCAGAAGATATCATAAAACCGATTTTGAGTCTTAACTCAATTTTGACCAAATGTGTAGTTACTGCGCTTTGCCTTAGTAGGGCAGAAATGTCTCCACTCAAGCCAATCCCAGCCATGGATGAAAACATAACTTCAGTTCAACCCACAGCCTGCAGAAGTGAAATAATCTGACTTGTTTCCTCTGTGTAACCAGGAAGAAATGTCATGAGTCATAAGTCAGATCGCCCTGATATGTGGCTAGAATCAGCACACACGTATCATTTCTGCCAACATGTAAGGGTCCGGGTTGAGTAAAGATGTAAGTGTGTGGGAACATTTTGATAATATCATGGAAAAGCAGCAAAGGGGTTCCCCAATAACTTTAAAATGTCACATCCTGATGTGTTAAAAGGCAAACCTGTCACACATCCATTGACAAACACAGAGACAGGTGTAGGCAAAATCTAGACTAAAATCTTACATTGCATCGTGAGCAAAGACTTCTCTAGTAATCCTAACCTGTACATTAGCCATGACTGGGTCCTCTACCTCCTTTACATGTATGCTGCCTCTACTCCTGCTGCCTCTTTTCATCTCTTTTGTTCAGTCATTCCCTACCACATGCAGAGGAATGCATGAGCTCACCATCGAAGTGGAAAACTTGGGAAAGAGTTTGAAGGTAATGCTGATCAAATGTTGTATGTTACATATGTTATGTCACAGCACATAATAATAATTTATATATCAAATTTATTTGTGTATTTAGTGTATAGTAGTATATTATAGTAGTACATATACTAATATGCAGTGTTTATGTTTGTCCAGGGCAATGCTTGGTCCAGTGTGTGTGTGTGTGTGTGTGTGTGTGTGTGTGTGTGTGTGTGTGTTTGTGTGTGTGTGTGTTTGTGACTAAAGCAGACTAAAGCAATCAAAAGCAGTGTGTGTTGATGCTAAAACAGCCCTTCGCAAATCACTGAAAAACAGTAAAATACTTTCCCCATGCATTGCTATATAAGCAACAAGGAAAATAAATAATGTTAAGTGGGTAAGTGGGCAGCCTATTAATTGTTGCTACTGGGACTCCATTTGGCATTTGTTTGTCTAACCAGTTAAAGCTGAGTCTACTGGTGTGATTTCTTCAACTCTGTTTCTTGTTTGGATTGACAGAACTGTTCTGATAACTGCAGCTCAGCTCACATTACTGTAAGTCTACCGTGATGTTATTCAGTGTTTCCCTTTGACATCCTCTGTTGCTCTGACTTAATCTTATCACTCACCACCTGCTCTGCACCTTTTTTTCTCTCCAATTTAAGTCTTTAAACTGTTTCCTGGATTTAAATTATTTATTTAAAATGTGCTCTGATTAATTATATGATTTAAATTGCGTAAGTAAGTATGCCTTAAAGAAACTACAAAAAATAAATAGAATGTAGTTTATCTTTTTTAGTTTTAAGTTAAGTTTACATTAGGTGAATGTTATAAAGAGTTAGCTTACAAGCTGAAATTGCAGAAATGCTCAAGATTGCACTCTGCATTATACATTATATAAGACAGTGTTGCTCTATTCTGCAGTGTGTGCAAACAGCTTCAGCACCATGATATCTTTACCACTTCCTCTTTTCTTGCTGTTATCTCATCTGAACTAATTTTTCTTTCTTGCGCAGCTGGTAGATGCACTCTTTTTGTATTTCTTGATCTTTCCTCGCATTTGTGTGCAGAGCCAGTTAACTATTCCGTTTCATCTGTCTGGATCCTCCCCAACTCTGAAAATATATCTAATCAAATTTCATTTGTTTTTTTATAAAAATTACATGGGAGCTGGTTTATGTAACTGAACAGTTTGATAACATTTTTAAATATACGTTTTTTTCTCACTATGTTATCTCCTTAGGATAGAAGATGCAAGTGTTTTAACCTCAGCTTGTTACAGGGGGTAAGTGTTGTGTGTTTTTGTGTGTGAGTATGACAGAGCGATGATAATCATTAATAATGTAATAGGAGATAAATGATTGTCTATAATGAATGAATTTTCAAAAGAAAAGACCTGATCTTAGAACTTTTTAAAATATACTGTGGCATGGAATTTCCTTTTGAACATTCTGAGCACTATTTATTAGTTACACCTGCCTGTTATTGGGTGTACATATTTGCTAAAGCTAAATGGTCTTGGAGATTGTTTTCTCAACTGCTGTTTCCAAGTTCAGGCTTAACCTTACAGTTGTTGCAAGGAAATTATTTTTTTATTTTTTTGAGATTGAGATACATTAGGCTAGCAGTTTCTTTCTGCTAAACTCAACACAAACAGCAGTAACAGGGATTTTGATATACTGAACACATTAAGCCCCACCCTCACATATGTTGTTATTTGGACAGGAAAGAGTCTTTCCTGGATATTTCATTAAAGGCCTGAAGTCCCTGCACCCCAGTATTGCCAATCAGGCAGACATGAACAATCTGGTCACATTACTGGATGAAATTTATCACCGGTGTCTGGTAAGTGATCATGGCTGATTATTTCTGTTTGTGTGTAAATATAATAACACAGATATTACAATTATGTTGTAAAGTTTTGTTATCAGAGACTCAAGGAAGGCAGTTTTAGACATATTAACATACTGTTGCATTTTGCTAATAATGTTGAGGCACTATTTTCATTCAGGTGGTAAATCCGTTTATCCTTTTAGACATAACTGTCACATAAGGTACAGCTGTCCTGATGTAGGTATTATGAATTGTCCATTGACAGTGTTCAAGTCTGTCTAGTGCAATTATTTTCCCACAAATGGAAAACCCCTGGACAGCATGGTGAAATGAAAATACTGTATTACATACAGTACTTACATACTTTATTTTTATATATAATACCATATTACAAAAATGCCATAAACTCAATACTGAGTAGTTGCACCAGAAACATATGTTGCAATATAATTTTTTTATGCTTAATGTAGTAAAGAAAAGTGACAGTTGTATAAATACATTAAAGCTTTTAATGTGATTAAAGCCTACCATACTTGGCTACATCACGTGACTTACGTGAAGTAAGCAAAGCTGTCTGTTTCATTACTTACTTTCAATTATTTACATTCCACAGACAGTGTTTCTGTGCTGAGAGGGAATAGTTCAGCAAAGACAAAATGGCATACTAAAGATACTGTAACTTTGGAAGATACACTCTTGATTTCTCTAACTCAGACTGCAAAGAACAAGGACTAGATTTTGTCCCACATCACTTTAATTGGAAGTGTATCCGGGATGGATCTGTTAATGGCCAGTGTAACAGGAGCAATGATTACAGCAGGTTAACTGTCTCAATGTAAATAAGGGTACCTTGTTTCAAGACAGACTTGAAAACTTGTGAACCTATGCTTTAAATCAATTTTCTTGCTGAGTTCAGCTTGATCTCTAAAATAAATTAACAGCCACATGATCAACTGATTTCCAATATATTTTAACATGAGACAACCTGTCTATACAACCCTTAGAAAGGGGGGATAAGTCTGCAAAGAGCAGTATTACGTAACTTTCAGAACAGACAGCCTTGCCATATTGCGGCCTTATAAAGATCTTATGTGCAATGTGTTGGCAAACAGTTGCCTTTTTCATGAGAGAGGTGAGACTAAACTGTGTCCATTCAAAATAATCAGCAACAAGATGTTAAAAGCTGTGCAGAGATGCCTGATAATTTTCTGTGGGTTTACCCATTTCACATTGCACATAATAATTTATTAATAATTAATAATTGTTAATATAAAAAATAATACTAAAACTTTATTTGCAACATTAATGTCCTATGTGTTTCTCCCTTTAGGAAAAGTCCGGCTTCTCTGTGCCGCCTGAGAATTATGAGCCTTTCATTTCACCAAAGAGCCTCCATAAGAAACTGGAAGACCTGACACAGCAACTCAACACCATTCTTAAAGCCTAAGTTCTGTATTTTTTCAACCTGGACTAATTGACTAATGGGGACAATATTTTTTAAAAACTGGTCAAATATTGAACAAGAGTGCTGCAGTCGGCAGCAGTGAAACAGGGCTGGCAATGCACCCTGTCAAAGTACGTCCACTTGAAGTGATTGTTTTTGCCGTTCAGATTGTTATTTGTGTCTGACAACATCAAGGAGGATTAAAGAGTAAGATCCTTTTTGTTTAACCACAAACGGACACTATGTCACTCTCATCAAAGACACCAGACTCTGACAAAAAACATAATTAAAAAACCAAAAACAAGTATTTTAGTGGACATACTATGACAGGGTACATTTGCTCACAAGGATTACGTTGCAGTCCTGTTTCACTGCTGCCGACTGCAGCGTGCTCGTTCAATACTGGACCAGTTTTAAAAAATGTTGTCACCATCAGTCAAATAGTCACAAAAACATGTGAAAACAGGGTCCAGGTTACAAAATATCAAACTTACCTTTTAACTTCTTAACTGGAAGACCTGAACCAGCAGCTCAACACCATTCCTAACTCCTCGCCTCAATAACCTCATCATTTATGAACTGTAAGCCTATTTCTTCGTATTAGATTTAATTTTGCCATGGAAATCCTCATTCTTAATAAGTGATATTAAGCAATGACCCCGAAATGTGAATCATCAGTGTGATCAATGTATTCTACAAAGCATATGTGCCTGATTCAATGACAGTATTTTAAAATAGCTGGTTGCTCTAGTATCGCCGTTCTGAAAAATCCTTTCATAATGTAGTAGTCATCAACTGGGATAAGATTGGACAATTCTAAATTCACAGAAAGGCTGTTTTTGACATAAGAAGTAAAGTACATAATCACAATTTCAGAAAAACATGTTGGACAGCTTTGACAAAATGTACATGCAATTGTCCAGTTGTTCAAATACAAAACAGTTAGCAAAAAATCTTAACTCACAGTCCATGTTCCAGCTGTTTCATGGGGCTTTAGATCATTAGTCTAAATAGAAGTCTTTGAACTGTGTCAAACTATTGTTGGTTTAAAAAGAACACACTAGACCTATGTTTGCATCATACATAGTTTAGAAGGATCACATCTAGTTTGCAACTGAATTGGACATTCATTGATGTAAAATTCAGTGCCAGGAAGGAATAAGTGCCTCAAGCAAGTAAAACGTATGAAATAAATTAACAAATTAAATATCTGCAGAAATAGATACTCAAGGAATAGCTCAATAACTGATCATGAAAGCTTAATCTCATGAACATGCATCATATTATCATCACTGTTTTATTAATAACCAAATACATCAGATCAATCAGTAGTTATTAAAGCCCCCCCAAAAAGTTGAATCAAACACTATCTCTTAATATGCTGCATGATTGATATTAAGATGTATGACATCAGTACTTTTGTGGATTTCAACCCATTTGTGATTGAAAATATTGATGCTGAACATAAAACATGATGCACCTTTGCAAATTTATTGTTTTAGACCTATTATATTTAACTTATTTATTATTAATTTATCATTATGTTAAGGATAAATGTTAACTGATTTAACTATTCATTATTATTTGGACAGGTGTGGAAAAAAACAGTTGAACTTGTAAAATATACAATATATTTTGCCTTTTAGCGAATAATCATAATAAACTGTTTAAAAAGTGAACAGCAATGGTACACGGATCCTCCTCGAGTGGTATCAGATTCTGCTGCGATTTTAAGCGTAATAGTTCAAAGCCCATTCCACCCAATGACCATCCTGGGCTCTTGTGTAACTTTATTTATGTTTCTTTTCATGTTTTGTGAATCACTTTGTCAACCCTTAGTGCCACACAAATAAAATTGTCATAAATCCAGTATGTTGTATTGATGGTATAATCAGCATTTATATACCGATCAGGTATACCCTTATGACCACTGACAGGTGTAGTTAATAACACTGATTATGGGTGGGATATATTAGGCAGCAAGTGAACATTTTGTTCTCATAGTTGATGTATGAGAAACAGGAAAACAGGGCAAGCGTAAGGATTTGAGCCACTTTGACAAGGGCCAAACTGTGATGGGTAGATGACTGGGTCAGAGCATCTCTAAATTGCAGCTCCTGTTGGGTGTTCCCAGTCTGCAGAAGTCAGGACCTATCAAAAGTGGTCCAAGGAAGGAAACCCTGTGAACCAGCGATAGGGTCAAGGCTTTTTGATGCATGTGGGGAGTGAATGCTGGTCCATGTGGTCCGATCCAACAGTGTGATACAGTTTGATGCTTTGGGCATTGTTCTGCTGGGAAACCTTAGGTCCTGCCATTCATGTGGACGTTACTTTGACACGTACCACCCACCTAAGCATTGTTGCAGACCATGGGCCAGATTTACTGAAGGTAAAAACGTGATATCACCAGCAAATAAAGACGTAAGCTGATGTACTAAAGTGCAAGATAGCACCTGTTGTTCATTTACTACTTTTGCCTTAATGACTATGCAATTTGGAGCGTTTCAATTTCATTGTGCAAAGTAATGGGAGGGTAACGCGCAAATAAGTTTACTACATGCAATGTGATCTAACAAGCCTAAAAGCAATTTCATGTGAGTGCAACAGCATCTGTATTTAATACGTTTGAAAGGAAGGTGCAAACCACCAAGGGTTGTGCAGAGATGGCTGCTGTTATTGTTGTGAGGAGACACAGCCGTAATGAAAGAAGATGTAGAAAAATTTTTGTGGGGTCCAGGGGGGTTCCCAGCAAAAAGGGGAATACTTTATTTTTGTTAAAATTCTAAGTAGCACATGACAGCATCTGTAGGTTTTTCTTACTGTTTTATTACCACTGCTGTTTCTTTCTTTTTTTAATTATGTGCTTTTATTCCTCGTAAACCTAGTAGTAAAAGTATGCTGTACGTCATTTCCATTTCAGCATCAATAAATCTGTGATCTACTGTGGGATCTCTTGAAGAAAGGTGTTGACGCACATTTATCTGAATTCCTTACACCTGGCTTGACATAGTCGCTGTCTTTTTTCTGTTATCCTGGATTTATAAATTCTGCTTTTGTGAAACTGCCCTCAGGTCTAACAATCAGGTTGTATATACTGTGAAATGTAACATGTTCTAGGGCTACATTTCCCATTTGAGTTTTTTATTTTGGGTCCTAAGTGGAGTACATAGAAAAGACTTTCTGTTTGTGTGCGACAATTCCTGTTGTAAGTAGCCACTGGACTCTGCTGCCCTCTATAGGCTTTCCTTAATACAGCAATACAGTGAGAGAGAGAATCCAAAAGTCAGAGCTAGAGAGAGAGTTGCACATTTGCATATGTGAAAATATTGAGGAAGTAGCAGTGCACCACAGCTGAAACAAACACAACAACTGAGACAATAAATGTAAATGCTCCGTACTTGTATAGCGCCTTTCTAGTCTTCGACCACTCAAAGCGCTTTTACACTACATCTGCATTCACCAGTCACACACATTCATACACTGAGCCTAAGTGCTCAAACAGAAACTAACATTCACACACATTCATACACTGGTGGAACAGCCTCCAGGGGCAATTCGGGGTTCAGTATCTTGCCCAAGGACACTCCGACAAGCAACCAGGGCCAGCCGCCCCAATAACTGGACACTATTTTCATCCAGTCATGCAGCCACCACCCAGAAAGGTAAGGTAGTGCTGAGAGTCTAATGTGGATTAAGAGTTGAGAGTGCTTACTGCTCACCACTCTCTAGTCAGAGATGGACTTAATATAAATTCATTAAGACTTTGTTGACTTTCTTTTGTTTTTCCTGCAACCCCTAACTCATTTTACAATTTATGATTGGAAACATTTGTCATCTAGCTGCAAAGTGTATACGGTTGTAAAAGAGAGTGAGTCATTTAAACTTTGTATTACACATGGTTGTGTTAATGGTGACCAATTTCCGTTAGTTCATGTAGTTGTCAATTATGTTAACATACATACATACATAATAATAATAATAATAATAATAATAATAATAATAATAATAATAATACATACCCTGTATGCAGAATAAGCAGACTATTGACTATGTACGTATGGATAATAATACATCATTGTATTATTAATCTGTAAGGTATACCTGGTAGTTATCAAATGCTAGTACAGTAAAAATTCCAATATGTGCACTTAGTAGTAGTTGAATCAAGCAGAAGATTACTTTCTACCACTGCTGATGTTCAATAATGTAAAACATTTTAACTGTCCCTCTGTGTGTGTATGCATGCAGGTAAAGGAGAGCCAGCTGGTAAAACTTATGTTCTCAGAACAGCTCAGCAAATTGCAGATCAGACAACATCAGGACACTGAACTGCTGGAGGAGATCAGGTACTCTCTGTGCATCACTGGATATCTGCATAAAATTTTCCCATGGGATTCAATGAGATAGAGAGTCATTGGCAGCGAGAGCAATACAGAAAATGACAGTGAAATCATTTTCATGTGTGTTTATGTTATGTTTTAAGGTCCTTCAGTAATAAACAAGCGGCTATAGAGAAACAGTATGGTCAGGTGAGTACACAGAAGCTATTCTAGTCCACTATTATTTACATTACTGCAACATTTCTTTTTCCTTTTACTGGAAATGCTCAGAATAATTTATTGATTTGAGGTCCCATGTCACTACTTGAGAGCTGTGTTGTTGTTTGTTGCCTCTGGTGACTCTGTGTGTACCACATGTGTGTTTCAACCAGAGGTGGAAAGAGTACAAAAATATTCTACTTAAGTAAGAGTACAATTTCAACAACAACAATATACAACAGCAGTATAAAAATCTACTCAAGTAAAAGTAAAAAGTAGCTTATTTGCAATTTATTTATTATTACAGTAAAAGTTACTTAGTTACTTTTTTAACCTCCTAAAATAACTTAATTATATTGATTTAATATCTTATTTATACATATACTTATTTAATTAAATTGCAGTTTTTTGCGATTTGATAAGGGAACAAAGCCATATGGTGCTTTCAATTTTAGTTTGTCTGACAGATGAAAACAAAGACATTTTATGTTATAATGAGAAGTTTCAGAATGTTTTCGCTTCTTTAGGAAACTGTAGCGGAACAGATTAGACTCTGGTGGGCTGGGAAAACGAGAAACACTGGACTGTATAAGTCATATCCATATTTTCATTGTGGTAATTTTAATGGGATATCATAAGCGTTAGTACAATAAATAACTAGTTACCAGAAAATTGCTAATGCCAACCATGCATGCACTGATATTGTTTTGGCTATTTGGAGCAAAGTATCTTATGAAAACTTATTTTTAACCACCAGCGGCTATTATTTAACTGACCTCTACATCAGGGGTCCTCAACTACATTTGTTCAAAGGCATGAATTTTTCTGAGCAGACACTGTGGGGCTGGACTTTCAAAAATAATCATCCAGGTCATAGTTATCCAACGAAGGATCGATACTGCCGGTTCGTTAGGACTATTCAATTCAATTCAATTTTATTTATATAGCGCAAAATCACAACAACAGTTTTCTCACAGCGCTTTTCATAAAAGAGCAGGTCTAGACCGTACTCTATGATGATATTTGATGACCAGATGACTACTGGTGGCCAAGACTGAACGATGGTCGTTCAGTATCGAACATCCTTTGGATGAGGGACGAAACGTCTTCCAGTATCTTCAACCAAGTCCAGTTGCCCTTGACTTTAACTTTCGTTTGTTATTGCTGTTTACTATTTTCAACTGTCTTAAAATGAACGTTTTTATTCGCTTATATCAGTGTGAACAGACTACTATAAGACATGGTAGGCCTAAATGGCTACTAGATAGGCCTACTTAACTAGAAAATGCTCTCAGACCACAGCCAATGAGGCAGTTCACTGAGGAGTGATGGTTTGAATCTGTAATTGTAAATGTAACTCTGATTGGCATGAATCAACCGGTTTTGATGCTATGCACCATTATTGTGCATGAGAGCATGAGACACCTGTAGTTAGGCCTATTGGTGGTAGCCGATTACTTTTAATAGCACAGGGCACAGAAGTCTGGGGTAGCTAAACAAAGTATTACCTGGCAGTTATTGGTATTTTCCATAATTCTGTGAGCTGTCATGATCTGACTTTATGCTGCACACAACATGAGTCTGCGAACAGCGAAAGTGAAAGGAGTTGGTTACCTGGCTGAGAAGGTGGAGGTGTGCAGCTCTTTATCTAACAGCTCACTGTTGCATTACTCCCTCCAATATTTCAAACTGGTTTGAAATTCTGAAAATGACGGATGTCTTGTTGTGTAGACGCATTTTTGAAGAATGAGAGCGGTCACCGCTGATCTCACTTACAAACAGAATGCATTTCCTGTGACTACTTCAAAATAAAAGTCAACTAGTGTTTTGCCAGTTAAATGTTTTCAATGTGAAGCTGCAGCAGCAAGAAATGATGAAAGCTGTTCTCTTGAACTAGAAGCCAAATGGTCATGAGTTATTCCTTACTTTTTTCCTTACTTACTTTCTTCAATCTCAATTCAAGTTTCAAGTCGTTTTCAGCCTGTTTTCTGAGTTTATAATGGAAGCGGATGGAGCAGAATATTGGGAGTTAGTTAGTTAGTTAGTCTTCAACTTGCTATATTTCCCACAATTTTCACTCTACATACGTAATTTTTTCACAAGTTGTAGGAAAACTTATTCTGCCGCTCATGTCCAACTTTGAAAGCAAACAGACTTTCACAGCTGGTACAGTCGGCTTGAGAGTGAGAGGAGTCCCACTCAACTGCCGCATAGACTCCCATACTAAAAAAGTGCTGCAGTTTCAGGAAAGAGGCAGAAAGATGGACATTTCTATACTGATGCTGTGAAGCCAT